ATTAATGAAAGCAATTTGCTATTATTTTTATATAATTAAATAAGATTTAAAATAGCAATTTTTTTTACTTCAATAAATCATTTAATTGGGGGCTCTTACAACCCTTAAAAAAAATTCCCTTGCTCCCCCACCATCCCTCCCTTATGAACTCTTGGTAATTTATACATTATTTTTTTCAAGTCTTAACATTGACTGCTGTCTTCCTTCACCTACTTTTCTGTTATTTGTCCTCCTGGGAGGCGTCGATCATAAGTGATCAGCTCCCCTTTGTTCCCCCCCCTCTTCCCCTTACCCTCCTGGTATCACTTCTCTCATTATTGGTCCTGAGGGATTTATGTGTCCTGGATTCCCTGTGTTTCTGGCTCTTATCTGTACCAGTGTACATGCTCTAGTCTAGCTGGATTTGTAAGGTAGAATTGAGGTCATGATAATGAGAGGGAGGAAGCATTAAAGAACTAGAGGAAAGTTGTATGTTTCTTCGGTGCTATACTGCACCCTGACTGGCTCATCTCTTCAACAAAGATTTCAGTAGTACACTGATACGGACCTGCCAGAAATTCAAGCCAGATTCAGAAGAGGTGTGAAGAAAGGGATGTCATTGCTGATGTCTGATTGATCTTGGCTAAAAGCAGAGAATACCAGGAAGATGTTTACTTGTGTTTTCTTGGCTATGTAACGGCATCTGACTGTGTAGGTCATAATAATCTATGGATAACACTGAAAAGAATGGTAATTCCAAATCACTTCATTGGACTCACGAGGAACCTACACATAGATCAATAGGCAGTTGTGCAAACATGACAAGGGAATAATGCATAGTTTTAAATCAGGAAAGGTGTGGATCAGAGTTGTATCCATTCACCATAACTACTTACTCTGTATACTGAGCAGGAAATCTGACAATCTAGGCCATATGAAGAAGAACTTGGCATCATGATTGGAGGAAGGGTTATTAACAACCTCTGAGATTCAGGTGACACAACCTTACTTGCTGAAGTAAGGAGAACTCGAAGCACTTGTTGAAGAAGATCAATGACTGCAGTATTCAAGATAGATTACAACTCCATGTAAAGAAAACCAAAATCTTCACAACTGGACAAGATGTAACATCATGATAAATGGAAAAAAGAATGAAGTTGTCAAGGATTTTATTTTGCTTAGATGCACAATCAAGGCTCATGGAAGCAGAAGTGAAGAAATTAAGGGATGTATAACATTAGCAAATCTGCTGTATAAGACTGCTTTAAAGTGTTAAAGATTAAGGATGTCACTTTAAGGACTAAGGTGTGCTGGACTCAAGCTTGCCATGGTTTTCAATCACCTCGTTTACATGTGAAAATGGACAGTAAATAAAAACCAAAGATAATTATGCTTTTGAATTATGATGCTGGTGAGGAATATTGAAAGTACCGTGGACTCCTCAAAAAGCAACCAAATCTGTTTTGGAAGAAGTACAGTCAGAAGGCTCCTTAGAAGTGAGGAAGGACATCAAGACTTTATCTAATGTACTTGGGTCATCTTATCAGGAAAGACTGATCACTGGAAAAGGGCATGGCAACACAGAAGGGCAATGAAAAGGAGAAAGGCACTTAATGAGATATATGGATATAATAGCTGCAACAATGGGCTCAAACCTAACAACAATGGTGAGGCTGGTACAGAACCAGGCAGTGTTTTGTTCTGTTGTACATTTGGTACATAACAATAGAATGAAATAGTCCAGAAAGACAAGTTAATGAACTGTTGTGTGACACTCTGAAACTATAGCGTGGCTCAACTTCAAGGTTAATGAGGTGCACCTGGCCAGGTGAAGTGCCCCCCCCCAGTTTATAGCTACTTAGAATGAGTTTAGAGCAGAAGTTCTCAACCTGTGGGTTGCGACCCCTTTGGGGGTTGAACGACCCTTTCACAGGGGTTGCACGATTCATAACAGTAGCAAAATTAAAGTTATGAAGTAGCAATGAAAATAAGTATGTTTGGGGGGGGCACCACAACAGGAGGAACTGTATTAAAGGGTCATGATATTAGAACAGTTGAGAACCACTGGTTTAGAGGAACTCATAGATAATGTTTTCAGATATCGGACATCATATAGTAGAGAAGTTTTATTTATCATGTTAATCTGGCCAATTTTTCTGGCATTATACCACATGCACTGACTTTTTTTCTTTTTTCTTTCTTTAGATATGTGTTATGGATTGAATTATCCTCAAAAATACCTGTGGTTATTCTTGTTAACCCCAAGGTTAACAGTTTGAAATCAGCGCACTCCACAAGAGAAAGATAGAGCTTTCTACTCACGTAAAGAGTTAGTCTCAGAAAAACACAGGGGCAGGTTTATCCTGCCCTATATGGTTGCTATGAGTTAAAATCAACTTGATGATAGTGTTTGGATTTGGTGTACCTATTATTTATCCCTTGTCATTATTAACAGTCAGACAGTTATCATCTACTCCACACTTGCACTACTTTTCAAAATGTGGATCTGGTAGCCACAAGGTGTCATGAAGATCTCTGGCAATATAAATGAAGTGTGCTACATTTACTATATACCCCCATTTACTCCACGAGAGAGCTGCCCTAATACAACCAAGAATCAAGTATCTACTTCTGAAAGCATATACCCTGTCCTAAGAAGAACATTTCTTTCTTTTTTTTTAATTTACAGAAACACTTTTATTAAGGCTTAAACACGACTAAGACAATTCATCTGGGTGAACTGACATGAGGATACAATGGTAAGAAGAGTTATTTTCATTTCGCTCTACCTCTGGTAAGATGAACTGTTCCACAGGTTTGTACCATAGCTTGTTCACTTGCACACCACAACTGGGAGGACTAAACCGAGCACTGAAGAGGGCTTCCTACAAATTGGAAAAAGAAAAACAACAAAAAAAGACAAGGAAAAACAAAAAAACTTCATGTTATATCATGCATATGGCTACAAGTTTTCAAATACCTTATATCTTGATCAGCTAAGTCCTCAGTGGCCTGAACCATGATTATAAACAATGCTTTATTGTGGTTTCAACATTCCTTGGGTCTTCTAGTACAGGCATGGTCATTCAAGAAGATATTAAAAATAGTCAAAGTTGTTACCATGTTCTCAGTCATTAACTATAATTCAAATAACCTTATATGAACAAACAGGGGAAACTCCCAACAATCTTGAAAAGTTTTATGGGAGTTAAGAAATGTTGTGAAATTAAAAAAACATTCCCCAAATTTTAAGTATCAGAAAGATCACAGATTCCTATATGCAAAAGGGGTAGGGGGAAGGGAATATAAAGGAGGACTGATTCTCATTATATATGAAATGTTTTCTTAGGGCTTTTCCCAATTTGTTGTATGGAAGACATTTTCCTCAGTCTCACGCCTATTCTTATAATCAATTTAAATCTATAAAAGCCACACAGAAGTTTAAAATTAAGAAGATCTAATGGATTGTGTTTTTTTTTAAACACCAGTCTTTATCAATATAGTGAAAATCAATGCAATAACTACCTCTGCTACCATCAGCATTCACTTTAGACTGGGTTTTTCTGGGGGACAGTGACCAGCAGCTTTCTGCTAGGCTAGAAATATAGCAAGTAACAGTCAAATTATCATGATTATAATATTACACATCCAAACCAAGTTATCTGAATGGCCATTCAAACATTAAGTATACTTTCAAAAAGGAAAAGATGAGAGGCGGCAGGGCAAGATGGAGACCAGGTAGGCAGCTCATACTGAGAGCTCTGTGGAGATTTGTGAGTTGGGAGATTTGGGGGCCGAGTAGGGAGTCCAAAGTGGTCGGTTAATTCTCCTGCACTCCAAGGAACTGGTCTGGCACCAGCTGCTGCTGTGGAGCACCACGTCTCTGCCAGCCATAGCATCCCGAGTGCCTACTAACCATCAGAGGCTGCTATAACCGCTGTTTGACATTCCAAGTGACAAAGGCACTTTGCTGCCTGTTAACGATTCCCCCTCCAAGACCAGCACTTTCTTTCCTTACATTTCCCTGCCCTGCTAGGCTTCCCAACCCTTTTAACAGACTCAGCTGCCTGCCTCTAGAAGGGAACAAGGGACTCCCACCCCTGCCACACCCCCAGTACTAGAGCTAGTGTAACTGCGGTTTGATAACCCAAACAGCAAGGGCAGGAAGAGCACTGCCCACTGCCCTTTAGAGAATCGCTCTTCCAAGATCAGGACATTCTTTTCTTCCTTTTCCCACTCCTCTAACAGACTTGGCTGGCTGCCTCTAGCTGGGAGAAAAGGACCCACACACCCCACTACATCCACACTCCCTGAGCTGTGTACTCCCAAGACTTCAGGCCATGGGGCACCCAGCTGAAAATGCCTCCTATGGAGACCTGAAAGTTGCTGGAGCGCAAAGGAGCAGACCTCAGAGCCTGACTACAGAAAGGGGCACCCAACCTTCCCTTCAAACAAGAGACTCCTGATAGGCTACGGTGAGAAAGAAACCCCAGTGGAACAAAGGTGAAGCACAACCCCTCAGGGCAGTTGGCTAGGGAGCCTGCAGAAGCATCAATACCAACCTCCCAAAGAGAGAGCCCAGGACTCTCTGACTCCCAAGAAAATGGTACCTAGCTCCAATAAATTGACAAGGAAGCAGCAAGCTCCGTAAACAGCTTCAACTAGAAAAGAGAAACAAAATACAATGTAAGAGGATGACCTACACCTAATGGCAGTCATACAAAAGGCAGACGTTGACCTATCACAGAAATAAATTTTCGGAGTGCTGCTTAGAGTCATACAGGATATAAGGGGAGCAATACAGAAAAAGGATGACATGATAGAGGAGATGAAGACCATACAGCAAAGGGAACTACAAGAGCTAAGGGATGAGATAACAAAAACCAGTAGCACATTCACGGATGTCATCAACCAACTGGAGGAGGCAGAGAACCAGACTAGTGACTTAGGACAGCCAAGCAGACTTTAACAAATGAAAAAAAAAAAAAAGGAAAAAAAAATTCAGAAAGTAATAAATGTTGGAGGGGCTGTGGAGAGATAGGAACTCTCATCCACTGCTGGTGGACCTGTAGGTTTGTACAGCCATTTTGGAAATCGATTTGGTGAGATCTGAAACAGATGGAAATTGAGCTACCATATGACTCAGCAATCCCCCTACTGGGCATATACCCAGAAGGGACAAGAAAGAAACCACGGCCAGACAACTATGCTTCAATGTTCAGCGTGCTGCAGTTCATAATCACAGGAATTGGAAAAAACAAACAAACAAATTTCAATCAATGGATGAATGGATTAAAAAACTGGTCCATACATACAATGGAGTACTATGCATCCCTAAAAAGCAGTGATGAATGCATGAAGCATATTGCCACATGGGAAGAAGTGGAGGGAATTATGTTAAGCAAAGTAAGTCAAGCACAAAAGGACAAGGACAGCATGAGTCCACTGAGATAAGCTTAAAAATGCAAAAGGGGCATGGGGAAAAGCTACTATATACATAAATCCCTGGGGTGAGGTCCAGGAACTATTGCAGGGGCCAAACCCAACCCAAGGGTATATATGGTAGCTTACTAAAAAGAAGGGTAAAGAAGAAAACGAGAGACATGGGTAGCGGGGAACAGGGCACTAACCCAAGCAAGGGGAAGGTACTGTTTATATCTTCACAGGAGAGTGAAAAAGGGACCAGACTTCAACCCAGTGTGCCAAGATGTGACTGCAACATACAGACATGAAACAGGAAACCAATAGAGAGGACTGCGGACCAGCCCCCAATCCCAACTACATGGGCACCCCCCAACCTCCACCCCAGAGGAATGTACTTCACAGGACACCACTTAAGTTGCAGCTCAGGAAGCGGAGCACTTCCAATCAAGAGCAAATGAAGAGGGAAGGAGAGAGAGTGGAACACATCCAGCACACCAAGCCTGAGGACGATATTCTGGCCCAGAGCAGCCAATGCACAGAAAGGATCACCAGGCTGGCTCCACCATGAGACACAACGTCCCTCACTGACCCATAGTGCTATTGGGGATAGCACTGGGAACACAATACAGGAAATGTGCCTAATCCAAAACACTAAGGATGGGCAGCAGAGCAGCAGGGGGAGCAAAGCAACGAAGTCCCTGAGAAATGACAAAGATGGACTTTGGGGTCAGGGTGTGGCACCCCAGCTGAATCAACTGGAAAACATTTTAAAAGGTCAATGGACAGACCTGGAACTGTTTGAGGACTTTTCTTTTATTGCTATTGGTTTTATTATTTTTTCTTGTTATGTTTCGCTTTGCTTTGTTTTTGCGCATATTATTGTCTCTGCATGTCTATGTGGACAAGATAGGCGGGATAAACAATCCAAAGGAGAGAACAATGGGACTGTTGGTTGGGGGGGGGGGATGGAAGAGGGGGAGGCAGGTGGAAAGGTAGGAGAGTGCCAACAAACCTAGGGACAAGGAAAGAACAAGTGATGGCAAGGAGGGCATAGGATGCTTGGGGTGGGGATTAGGAGACTTGATTAAGGGCAATGTAGCCAAGAGGAATTTCCAACCTGAACAAAGGCTGAACATGATAGTGGGACAAGAGGAAGGTAAAATGAAATCGAGGAAATAAATGGGAGGCAAAGAACACATTTATAGAGATCTAAATATAGGCATGTAGATATGTAAATACATCTATATATAATAAGGGAATAGATCTATATACATATATTTATTTATAAAGTATTACGGCAGCAGATGGACATTGGGCTTCCACTCAAGTACTCCCTCAACCCAAGAACACTTTGGTCTACTAACCTGGCACTCTATGATGCTCACCTTCCCATCATGGTGTCTAAAGACAAAATGGGTGCATAAGCAAATGTGGTGAAGAAAGCTGATGGTGCTTGGCTATCAAAAGAGATAGCATCTGGGGTCTTAAAGGTCTGAAGATAAACAAGTGTCCATCTAGCTGAGAAGCAACAAAGCCCACATGGAAGAAGCACACCAACCTGTGTGATCATGACTATCGATGGGATCAGGTAACAGGCATCAAAGACCCAAAACAAAACAAAACAAATTCATATGGATGTGAATGAGGGGGCGAGCAGAGTGGAGACCCCAAGCCTATCATTAGTCAATTGATATCCCCTGTCAGAAGGGCCAAAAGGGAGAGACGAGCTAGTCAGGGTGCAGTATGGCACCAACGAAATATACAGCTTTCCCAAAGTTCTTTAATGTTTCCTACCCCCCCCCCAACTATCATGACCCCAATTCTACCTTACAAATATGGTTATACCAGAACATGTATACTGGTACAGATAAGAGCTCGCAACACAGGGAATCCAGGACAGATAAACCCCTCAGGACCAACAAGGGGAGTAATGAGACTAGGAGGGTAAAGGAAAGGGGGATTGATGTATTGCCCCCTTCCAGGGTCAACAGAAAAGTGGGTGAAGGGAGACAGCAGTTGGTGTAAGACATGAATTTTTTTTTAATGAATTATCAAGGGTTTATGGGGGAGGAAGTGTTGGGGAGGGAGGGAAAAAATGAAGAGCTGATACCAAGAGATCAAGTAGAAAGAAAATGTTTTGGAAATTATGATGGCAATATATATAGATGTGCTTGACACAATAGATACATGTATGGATTGTGAGATAGTTTATTGTGCCAGCCTGGCTGATAAACACAAGTGGGATTAACTGAAGGGTGGAGAGATAAATGGCTCAGTGAGCCTCACCTTTCTTGTCTCTCGCTCTTTGATCATCGGACCAGTGTGCGGCTGCCTTGCTTGTTCTGTGCCTCAATTTACAGGCTACACTACCTGTGGGACACTTAACCTGTGGACTGTGTCACTGTAAGTTGAGGTCCCTTTAAGACCACATGATTGAAATTTACATCTCTGGAGCTGAGGA